GTCTCGGCTGTGCCATACCTTCCGCCCGAGGATTGCGCTCTGGACCTTGTGACCGAAACAACCGACGAATCCCCTTCTGCCAGGTCAAACACAGTCTATGATGCTAGCTTCCTGGGAAGGTTAAGAGAATTTGGTCGCCTCGTTGAGGCACCTGCACTTTCGTTACGCTCGCAAAGGTATCGATCTTCTGTTCGTCCGAGCGCTCCTTCTTGTTGACCCCGTGCTCTGCGAAGCTAACGGTTGTGCCGTCGTTTCGGCTGATAACCAATCTTTTACCTGGATCTTCATAATCCCTGCAGAATGTTCCGATAACATATAATGGTCAGTGGGCTCGGCCGATGACCTGGGGAAGAAAAGCTAATGCCGTCCAGCATACACTAAGGCAACACTGGAGGGAGGAGGCCGGCCCGCCAGCCGACGCACGCGCGCGCGCCGCTGGCTCGCCCCTTTTTCCGTTTCCCTAGAGCCAAAGTGGTATAGCTGCGGAAGCAGAAGCAGTCAGTACGTCGGGCATTGCGCGCAAGGCAAAGGAGCAGACAGGGCGGAAGGATGGTGGTGCGGATGGGGTGCATTGGCTAAAACACCAAGGACTCGTGCCCCAGGAGAGGCCCAATATATAGGAACATAAATAAAACATTGGGGATTGTGCACACAGGAGAAGGACAATCTATAGACACAGACGTATAACATCAAGGATTCGTGCTCCAGGTGAGACCCAATCTGTAGGAGCATACATAAAACACCTGGGATTGGAGCCACTCCTGTTGCCTTCTGAGGCCTCCTGCTCTTGGGGCCTCTCGGGGCCGCCTGGTGCCTTCCGAGGTCTCCTGGCGTTTCCTGTGGCCTCCTGGGGCCTCCTGTGGTTTCCTGAGGCCTCCTGGAGTTTCCTGGGGCCTCCTGGAACCTCTTAAAACATCATGTGGCCTCTTGAATATTTCTGTGACCAACGGATGTCTCCTGGGACCTCATGTGGCCTCCTGGGGCCTGTTGGAGCCTCCTGTGGCATCCTGAGGAGAATATGTGCCCATGAGTCTGGCCACCAAAACAAGCAAACCGATCGAGACATCCTCAACATCTGGCCCACCTGGGGGGTGAAAATGAGCGCCTCGCTCGAAACATCCTCCAAATCTGCTCTCCAAGCGAAGGAAATTGAGACACAAAACAGGCCAACCGCTTGAGACATCCCCGCAAAACGGCCGCGAACGGGACCTTGCAATACCCCTCGGGGGCACCCCTTAAAGGTGCTGAAACCAGCGCCCCGCCTGAGACGTCCACACAATCTGCTCTCCAAGCGAAGGAAGTTGAGACAGAAAACAAGCAAACCGCTTGAGACATCCCCACAAAACGACCGCGAACGGGACCGTGCAATACCTTTCGGCGACTCCCCTTAGGGGTGCTGAAACCAGCGCCCCGCCTGAGACATCCTCACAATCTGCTCTCCAAGAGAAAGATGTTGGGACAGAAAATAAGCAAACCGCTTGAGACATCCCCACAAAACGGCCGCGAACGGGACCGTGTCATACCCCTTGGCGGCTCAACTTAGGGGTGCTGAAACCGGCGCCAAGCCTGAGACATCCTCACAATCTGCTGTGTGTTGAATAAATGAGACAATGAGAAGGTCTGAGTATGAGTAAGTCTGGGTATGAGTGACTCTCAGCAGGAGTAAGGCTGAGTTCGAATAGGTCTGAGTATGACTAGGTCTGAGTATGAGTAAAGTAATATGATCATGCCTGAGTATGATAAAGTCTGGGTATGAGTAAGTCTGCCTGTGCATGAGTAAGTCTAGGTATGAGGAGAAGGAGGATGGTGGTGATGGTGATGGCACGCTCATCGAAGCGGTGACTGAAAGCAAGCTGAAGCCAGAGAAAACTACGAACAAGAAAGCCCAAATTGTGAATTCAAGTGGCCCGCGCTCTGTCCCGGCCGCCCAAGGCGAGGAGCAGCTGATGGGAAAGGTCCCAAAGGACTTTGGGGTCCCGCGAGCCCTGAGGCGAGAACTGCTGGCACCAACCAACAGCGTCCCACCTGTAGACGCGACCTCTGGCGCTCCGCGTGCCCGCCTTTGACGAGCCGCAGGCCCAGACGCGCCTGACCGAGGTGAGCCATTCAAAATCATGTTCTCTAAAGGCGTGGCCTGCCATCGAATCCTCATGGCGCTGGAGATGGGATAGCCAGGAAATGCAGGAAAAGCAATAGACCCGGGGCCACTGGGTAACGACTTTATCCTTAAGCTCCCTGGCCCTACGCATGCTGAACTGCGCAGGAGTCTCTTGAGGATCCCTGGGGAGCCGGAGCATCCAACCTAAAATCTTAAACTGGAGACGGTCTAAAGCTAGGACTACCGATTGGGAAGGATTCCAAGACGCTGCCCGGGCCCGGAATACCACACACCACTTGGTCAAGTTTCTGGACCCTTTTGTGGAATATGATCATCCTGTTGGCCAGGACCCTGGAGTTCCTCCAATAGACGCTGATGATGGCAGCCTTCGTCCGCTGGATGTCGTACGTTGGGTCCCCGTTGCACGATAGCATGGGGCCGAGAAGCTGCACGGTTGGCATGACTCTCCATATCTTTCCAAACCCGTCCTGGAAGCTCGTTTCTGGATAAATGACTGGCGAGGCTCGCAGCACCATCCTGCTATCGTTCTTGATGCTCAGGCTGTGGAGCTTGACAAATGCACCCTCCAGGTCGCTCAACAATTCAACTGCCGACTCCACGGAAGTACCGAAAGTGATGATATTATCGCTCCAAGTGGTGACGAAAATCATTTTCATCGACAGCACAATGCCGAGACTCTGTGAGATCCACCGTTCTAGACAATCGCGTCCTCTACCGAAACACGTGCCATCAAAGAAGCGGAGGAGGCCCCGGTGTGGAGCCCAGGAGACCTGGAACTCGGAGCGGTGGAAGATCCGAGGCAGGATATCGATACCTTCGGGCACCTGTGAAGCCTGACGAGCCCGCTGACAATATGAAGCGGAACCTTCCTGGCGATGAGGCCCCGCGAGACAGCGGCATAGCGAACCTGATCATGATGAGATTTGATGTCCCCCATGGCAACCACAACCCCGTCGTGCCAGTCCCTCCCCACCTCATTCGCCCTGGTCACCGTCGTGAAGATGTCCTGGATTTGCCCCCCCTTCGAAACACCCAGAACTAAGCCCTGGAGATCACGGTCATCTGTAAAAGCGTCCAGGTACGGAAGTGCAACTCGCGCCAAATACGCATGGCAGAGTTTAGAGATCATAGGCTGGGGGACCAATACTCGTGTAAGAGATGGGACGTCGAGTCGTTTGGCCTTGTTTCCCACGCAAACCGTGAACACCACCGACTTCCAAAATGCATCTGACCTCATCGCCTCTCGCACTGTCGGCTTGACTCTGTCTAGCCAGCCGGCCGCCCGAAGCGTAGCAACCGATGCCCCGAACATGTCAATCTTGGAAGGGTTCGGGATACTGTCGAGCGCTGCAGAATACGTGGGATCGTCAATCTGGAAAACAACCTCTCCGAGTAAACCGAGGGATCGTAGTTGATGCATTTCCTCATCATACTCTGTTGCTGGCACAGACTATCTGTCCCGATACTCCCTGAAAACTTCATCGCTACAGCTCTCCGGATCGATCACGACCTCCCCGTCCAGCTTGAAACCCAAAACCGGTGGTAAAGATTTCTTGGGAACGCAAACCTTCCCCCCGCTGTGAAAAACGGCAGCCGTTCGACTAGCTTCACGATGCTGGCGCGATATCTTCAACGCTCTCAGGAGGTCCTTGTGGCGCTGCACACGATCAACATCAGAAAACGAGACACGCACACGACGACGGAGTTCTTTAATCCAGAGGGGCTCCGCACACAGGCGCCGATGCTGCGCCGTGCCAGTGCGCTGGGTCTCCTGAGCCAAATCACCTACACACTGCTCCCAAAAGGTGAACGTGTTGTCTTCCGGAGGGTCGTGGTAAACCATCTCCATCGAATCCGGCATCTGTTTCTGTTTCTCATCGACTCTGACCAGTTCCGTGCGTCTGGGAAATATGGCGTCAGCCACGGCAGAAATACGAAAAGGAGGAGGAGAAGAAGAGGAATGAGGAGTAGGAGGCGTCCAAGTAATATCAAGAACCCCATCTTAGGACATGAGGAACAGACAAACAACAAACAAGCAAGTAAGCAAGCAAGCACACAACCAAACAAACAACCAAACCAACAAACAAACTAACAAACGATCAAGCACTCAAGCAAGCAAGCAAGCAAGCAAGCAAGCAAGCAAACGCATAAGCAAACAAACAAACCAACCACGAAATAAGCAAACAAATAAGCACGCAACCAAACAAACAAGCACACAACCAAACAAACAAACACACACACACACAAAAAAAAAAGCAAACACATTAGCAAACAAAGGAACAAACAAGTAAACAAGCAGGCAAGCACACAACCAAACAAGCAAGCAAGCAAGCAGACAAGCACACGAACAAACAAACAAACGATCACACAAACAGGCAAACAAGCAAACTAGCAGGCAAGCAAGCCTACACATAAGCAAGCAAACAGACAAACAAACAAGCGAGCAAGCACGTACGCAAACAAACAAACAAGCACGCACGCAAGCAAGCACACAAGCACACAACCAAACACACAGACAAGCAAGCAAGCAAGCAAGCACACAAACAAACAAACACACAAACAAACAAGCAAACAAACAAGCAAGCAAACAAACAAGCAGGCAAACAAGCAAGCAAGCAAGCAAGCCAAACACATAAGCAATCAATCAATCGAACAAGCAAGCGAACAAGCATACAAGCGAACAAGCACACGAGCGAACAAACAAGCAAGCAAACAAGCAAGCACGTCAAACACATGAGCAAACCAACCATCAAACAAGCAAGCCAACAGACAAGCACACGAGCAAACAGACAAACACGCCCGCCCCGGAGCACCCCGCCGCGGGCGCCGGCCCGCGCGCCGCGCCGCTTGGCGCCGCCGGGGTGCTCGGGCCCCCGCCCGCGGCGCCCTCGGCCTCGCCGCCACCCTGCGCCCGCGCGGGCTGTCGGGGCGAGGGCGCCCCGCCCGGGCTGGCGGCACCACACCTCGGGCGGCGTCGGCGGGCCACCTCCCAGACACCTGCCCTCGCCGTGGACTTCAAGTCTGGAAGGGGCCGGTGTGTCGCCTTCTTCGGCCTCCGGGGGGCCCTCGCTGGGCCTCGCGGGGGCCGTCCGGAAGAACACGGCTCGGGATGCAAAACTGGGCCCAGGGAAATGGAGGCCTCCTAGATGGGGTCCGAGACGATGGGGTCGGAGGATCGCGCCGCATCGGCGACGCATCGGCGATACATCGGCGTTGCATCGGCGATGCACTGGCGACGTCAGCGATGCATCGGCGACGTCGGCGTGGAGGAAGTTGAGCCCCACATCGAGCCGCATCGCCGATGCATCGGCGATGCGGAGCGATCCTCCGACCCCATCTACTCGGACACCATGTAGGAGGCCTGGAAAACCAGACCTGGGCAAAGGGTCGGGACTTCCAGGGACCGCGTATTGAAAAATCAGGGCGTCGCATGTCTAGGCTCTCAACGCCGAACTCGAGCCTTCGGAGAAGGCCCGCCCGCCCCTTCTCACTTCCCCCCCTCTCGGGGGGAACAGAAGGGGGGATAGCAAAGGGTAGGGTAGGCTCGCCGCCGAGACGTGCTGGCAGGGCTGGTCCTGGGCCCGGGGCCTCCGTCCTGCGCACCGCTAGACCCCACAGTTCCAGCGCATGCCGAAAAGAACTCGATGCCGAGGCTGCTCGCCGTTCTCGGCCTCCCGGGGCCCCTTGCGGGGCCCCGGGGCACGTCACAAACACGGCCTGGGCTGCAAAGCTGGCCCAGGGGAAGGGGTCAGGACTTCTGTGATGGGTCTGTTTTCCACCACCACCACCACCACCACCACCACTAGAAGTTGGATGGGGGAAGGAGTAGGAAGACGAGGAGGAGGACGAGGAGGAGGACGAGGAGGAGGAGGAGGAGGACACCCTCCCCCTTCAACTTATGGTGGCGGTGGTGGAAAACAGGCACATCACATCATGCTGGGGCCCCCTCATTGTGGAAAAACACGACTAGAGAGCCCACAAAGGACGTACGCGCCCAACTATATGCATAAACACGGCCCCTCGATCCGCCAGACCAGCCGCATGATACGAGCATTCGCATAATGCGTACTCTCGAAACCAGCGTGGATTCATGTACGTGTACGTCCTTCTTTCGCTCCTGAACTACGGCGGATCTCTGGGGAGGCCTCCAGCCAAGCGCTCCCGGGACCAGGATGTGCCCGGCCAGGGCTGGTGAGGCGGCCAGCTGACGTTACGTCGGGCGTGTCCCTCTACAGGAAGAAGATGCAAAAATAGTCAAAAAATAAAACGGGAACGATGTTTCCATTATCTTTGTAAGATTATCGAATATGTTTGGATTATGTCTCAGTCCTCTTTCAAACTCTGCCCGTAGGGGGACACGCCCGATTTAAGAAGCCGACGTCGCCCGGGCACCCCGCCGCGCCGCACAGGGCCGGGTCGCTCCCGCGCTGGAGGAACAGCCTCTCCAGCAGCGCCACCCGATCCTTCAGCGACGCCGCGGGGGCGTGCGGCGCCTCCTGGCGAGTGTCGCGCAACCGGTCCCCCTCCCCAGCGGCGTGGCCTGGGCCCCGCTGGCCGATCGGCCCCCCTCGATGGGGACATGGGCCGTTCTCTTCGGGCTTCGAGGGGTGCATCCCCAACTGGGGTGGTAACTTGGTGGGGGTCTCGATGGGGATGGAGGAGGAGGGGGAGGAGGAGGAGGGGGATGGAGATGGGGATGGGCATCGGTTCAACGCTACCGACCTGTGGGCCCCCCGGCGGGGCGCCCACCTTCAGCGCGCCGGACGACGCGCCGCACTTCTCGAGCAGCGCCACGCGCTCCCTCGGCGGACCAGGCGAGGGGGAGGGGGCACGTGGTCACGGGGGTGGGCGAATAGCGAGAGTCGACTCACGTGCAGCTGAGGTCCCGGCGACTCCTGGCGCCGGAGGCGCCGACGCAAAGTATACGGAGACGGGCGCTCGGCGGCGGAGACGACACCGGCTGCGCACGGCGCAGGTTCCTGTCGTGACGACCATGCGCTGGCTCCTGACACCGCGTGGGGCGTGCAACTTGGAGCGATCGGCGGCGTTTCGCTCCCCAGATCGTTCCGTATTGGCCGACTCTGAGCCGCTGGCTGCGTTCCACCCTGGACGCCCGCGGCTGGGCCGCCGCCGAGCCGACGCGACACGAACCTACCGTTCAGCAAGTTCGTGCCCCCCCCTCCCTGTTTCAGGGCGATCGACGTGGGTACAGACAGAATGGGTACGATGCCCAACAGCGGCTCCTGTCCGTTTTGAACATGACTCGCTGTCCGCGCCGCTGCGGACGTTGTTCTTTGAAGACAAAGAACCGCCTGCCCAACAGCGGCCGCTGTCGGTTTGGCAGAACATTTGTTGTTGGGCATTGTACCGTGCTTTCCGTACCGATTTCCAGCGTCCAAACTGTTCCTCCCGCCCCCGTGTTCCCGGCGGCTCAAAGATGGGATCCTGAAGGATGGGGCCCTAAGGATAGGGAGGAATCCAAGGATGGATTTGCACTGTTCGAGGCACCTCGTCCGTGGGACCCCGCCCCTCAGGACCACCGACGTCCTGACTCTTTCACGGCGGGGACCTCCAGCTGTTTAGGCCCACTCCCTGGGACCCGTCCCCCATCCCGAGCCGTCTTCTGCCGGCCCCGAGGCCCCGCGAGGGCCCCCAGAGGCCCGAGAATACCGAGCCACGCCTCCCGCCATGCCTTTTGCTCCGTCGGATGTCTGCCTCAAGCGGTTTTCGGGCGAGGAGGACGAGAGACGAGGAGGAAACGAGAGACGAGAGACGAGAGACGAGAGACGAGAGACGAGAGACCATGTAAGACCCTTGCGTGCCCGAGGGGGCCCATGGGCCCCTCGGGACCCCCTCTCTGAGCCACCGACGCCCGCCCCGCCCGCCCGGCCTCAGGGAGAGCCCGGCCTCGCCCCGGGAGTCCTGCGAGGAGCCGACGTCCTCCGGGCCCCCCGGTGCCTCGCCCTCGGGCGGCTCCCCGGCGGCGCCGGCGACGCCGCCGCCCTCCGCGGCCGCTGCTCTGGGCGCGTCCCCCGCGACCTCCGAGCAGGAGATCGACTGCGGAACCCCAGAAGCCCTCTGGGCGTAGTAGAGCAGTAGGTGGCTCAACGAACTCTGTCTTTTTGTTTGTCTCTCTCTCTCTCTCTCTCTATCTCTCTCTCTCTCTACCAAAACCACTCCTTCCCCTGCTCCAGGGGGGGTACCACTGTTCCCTATACACCCCCTCCGCCAGGCGACCGGCAGCCCACCAGGAACAATGAGGAGCCCATGATCACATCGCCTGAACCATCCTTGCCAAAAACAATACGAACACACACTCTGCCTCCAAATTCGGAGCACGTGCAACCAACCCGATGCGCCCCCTCCCCAACCATCCGTCAAAAAACACTACGAAGCACAATTTGAGGCAAAGTGGTGCCAGCATATTGCCTGCTGTGCGCGGGGCTACCATCCCTGCCAAAAAAATACAATACATTGCACCTCGCGGCTAAATCTGAATCATGCGCGGCCACCCCGCGATCACTGTCATGTGGTTTTCGACAGAGACGGCGGGGATGGTGGCGTATGGCCTGCTGTGGGCAGGCCCACCAGACACAATGATGGGGATCGGCTTTCGACAAGGACGGTGGGGACCGACATGTTTCCCGATGTGTGCTGTCACGTGCGCAGGCGCACCCGACAGTCTCTGCACGTGACCCGAACTTGGCGCACCTGGCGCGGCTGGAGTATGCGGCACACCTGGCGCACGCGGAGGCACGTGGCGCATCTGGCGAACTAGGCGTACCTGGCGCGCTCGGGCCCCAGGCAAAGTCTTGAATCATGTTCGTAAGGCCCGCGAGCACTTTGTATTGTTTTTGACAGGGACGGTGGGGGTGTCAGCATATTGCCTGCTGTGCGCAGGGCTACCATCCCTGCCAAACAACCATACAAATTAAACACCGCGGCAAAAACCGGATCATGCGCGGCCATCCCGCGATCACTGCCATGTGGCTTTTGACAGGGACGGCGGGGGTGATGGCGCGTGGCCTGCTGTGCGCAGGCCCACAAGACACAATGATGGGCATTCGTTGTCGACAAAAATAGCGGGGGCCGACAGGTTTCCCGATGTGTGCTGTCACGTGCGCAGGCGCACCTGACGCACTCTGCACGTGCCCCGAACGTGGTGCGGCTGGAGTGTGCGGCACACCTGGCGCACGCGGAGGCACGTGGCGCATCTGGCGCACCAGGCGTGCCTGGCGTGCTCGGGCCCCAGGGGTGCATGGCGCGCGTGACGCCCCTGGCACGCGTGGGGCATCTCGCCCAAGCGTCGCGCACCTGGTGTCGGCTTTGGTTCCCAGTGGCTGCCCATCCAGCTGAACATGCTCAGGCTCGGGTGTTACTTATGTTTTGGGAGGGCGGGTGGGAGTGAGCCAGACGGCTTGCTATCTAGGAGGGTGTATTGATCCCTCCCCCTACCCCCTCCCCTGGGCCTGGGAGGAGGGGGGGGGGACGGAGGGGTTAGAGCGTCCAAGATGGCCCAATATGACTTACCCAAAACATGGATTCCTTCGTCGAATCTGCAAGACATGCGCAGAAAGTTCCGCAGAGTTGCGCAGCACTCTGCATATACATGTGGCTTCGCAGGCTCGACGGGGAAATCCACTTCTGAGCAGATCAATCCTGTTCTCGATGCCCTGTTCTTAGGCCGGGCGTCCTCCTTCAGGCGGATTTTGGAAGAACAATAGACATCACGTGGTTCACAAAATACTCACCAGTGGTCAAACGTAGTCGAAACATCACCCCCATATCTCTTAGTGTTCGACGATTTTTTGAATCTTCCTCCTGTAGAGAGAGAGAGAGAGAGAGACATGCCCGACTGGCCCTCGTCGTGACCTCGCCGACCTCGTGGCCGCCGACGCCGACGTCCGCGCAGCTGGGCTTCGGCTGGCGGGCGGCGGCGGCCCCGGCCTCGGCGGGGGCCCGCGGGGCCTCCGCCCCTGCGCTCGGGGGCGCCGGCCTGGCCTCCGCCTCCCAGGCGCCGCCCTCCCTCCGCGCCTCCCCGCTCGGCCTGGGGGCGGGCGCCCTCTCGGAGATCCGACGCTGCGATCCGAGCCTGAAGTCGGGCCTGTCCCTCTGCAGGAGGACTATCCAGACATAGCCCAAAAATATCTGGAGACGATTTTTGGGGAGTAGTTCTGGACCATTCCGGGGCAGTGTTTGACATCTGTTTCATTGTTCGTCCAAAATCCCCCTGCAGGAGGACTGGCCCGACTTAATCTGAGCCCCTGCAAACGGGGCGCCAGTAAACGGGGCGGTAACTAAGTGGCCCCCTCAAGCGAGAACGGGGTGGCAGGGCATCTGCCTCGCACTAGTGCCTGATACATCGGGACGGCAACAACGTCGACGCATCATCTTAACCCGGGGTCAAGGGGGGTACCTCGAACTTGTGCGCGACAAACCATTCGTTTGAACCACCATTGAAAACGCAACCTTAGCTACCGGCCCGTTTAATAATGCCCCGTTTGCAGGGGCTTACGCGACTAAAAAAGATGCGGCATCGCGGAAAGCCACTGTACGGAATCCTGGACCCCGCCTTCCTGCTGCGTGTTTCGAGCCGGACCGATCCGTGATCGTCCCGGGGCCCCGAAGCCGCGCGACAAGCCCCGCCGGTGCCCCCAAAAAATGCAGCGCCGGGCTCTCGGGTCGGCCACACGCAGGAGTGGCCCCTTGGCAAGTGACCAGTGGTGCGCGGCTCCACGGGGGACGCGGGTTGGCCAAACCTGGGCGCGCAGGCCGCTGCAACCGCTTCGCGCCCGGCGATCGGGGGAACGCACTGAGCCCACACCATCGGTCATTCTGGCGAAAGGTCACTCTCACGTCTAGTCGATCGGGGCCTGCAACCCGACGCCCTGGCCGCGCCCCGGGCGGAGCGGCTGTCCCTGGGGAAACCAAAAGGTACCGATACGGCTACTCCCCGGACCTCTCCCGGGGCGCGTTCTAACCTAGATTTCGAGGCCAATCCAGCGTTGGTGACAAGGGCCTCCCAGGAAGGCGATGAAAAGGGGAAACCGAGCGAAGGGTAGAGGTGTGGATACCTTTTCCTCCTCTGAGTCCCCGCGCCGAGGCACGGCGGCCCACGGCGCCAGCGGCTGCGCCGCGCGCGGCGTCCGCGACCCGCCCCGCCGCAGCTGCTCGGTCAGGCGCGCGAGGATGGCCGCCGCACGGGGCGCGGCCTCCGCGCCGCCTGCGGCGCCCGGCCCGAGAGCGGCGGTGGCCTCGCGGCCCTGGCCTGGGGCGGCCCGGGCGGCAGCGGCTGCAGCCGCGCCGTCGGCCGGGCGGGCTGGCGGCCCCTGTGCCCGAGGAGGAGGCGGAGGAGGCAGAGGAGGAGGAAGCGGAGGAGGAGGCGGAGGAGGCGGAGGGGGGAGGGCGAAGGAGGAGGCAGAGGAGGAGGCGGAGGAGGAGGCGGAGGAAGAGGCGGAGGAGGCGGCGGCGGAGGAGGCAGAGGAGGAGGAGGAGGAGGAGGAGGAGGAGGAAGATGAGGAGGAGGCGGCGGAAGATAGTTACAGGACTTCACTGCCCTGGGCCAGGCAGAGCTGGCCCAGCAGCGTGACGCTGATGGGGAGCTTGCGGTGTGCGATGTTCGGACCACCTGCCTGACTACTGGGGAGCGGGAGGATGCGTGTGTGCGTGTAGGATAGCTACGGGTGGGACGGACAAGACACGTTCCGAGACGGAGGGGGCAGTGGCCCCCTGCTGTGGTCTGGCCTACTGTTTTTTCTCCTCACTCGTTCCTCCCGCTCACCGCCTTGTTGTTGTCCCACCGCACTCAGAGCAGCCACTACTCGCCAGCTTGACCTCTGCTCAGCCTTACGCGCAACGTACCTCAACTGTGGGCACTGTATCGTTCAGGCTCCCCTGAATATAAAGAGTGGACCCCCATCCAACCGCTACAGGCCAGCCAGGCTACACTGAGCCAGCCTATTGTTACAACGGTTCGTGTTAATCCCGAAGACAGTATACAAGAAGCACTGGTCCCGCGGCCCTGGAGATTATGGGTAAACCGAAAAAAAAGCCCTGGGTAGTAGCCCAATGAATTGTCGCCATGCTGTACTCTCCATTTGGTATTTTCTATTGCCAGTCTGTTTGCCTATGCTGATACTGGGATGGGGTGGAGGTCAGGCAGGTTGGGACAGCGGTGAGGAAGTGGATCTCAACCAGCCCAGCCAGTACCTACTGCGCCAGCCTTCTTCAGCATACAGCCGAGTACCTCAAGAGGCCACTCCAGGCCACGCCTCAACTTGAGCACTCAGCCGCTCACATTGTCACTAGCCTCGCCTCTTCTACCTTTCTTTTCTACGAGCTCGTATACCTGTAGCGTTGCACGCCCGGACTGGCAAGCTTGAGACTTTCCTTACGGGAGGATTTAACGGAGGTGGGCACTAAGGTAACACCAGGCGCTGCATTGCACTACCATGTAATCCTGGCGCCAGCCTCCCTCGGCAGTAAGCCTAGGGCTCACACTGCCACTCTAGCGTCGCCTGTTCTACTGTTCTGCACTTGTATTTCGTCACTCCTCCTCCGCCTTCTCCTCCTCCTTGTATCATCCATATCATTGCTGGTCCTTCCCTGTCTCATCGTCGGCATCTGCCACAGCGCTGGTGGCGAGCGCATACTCTGCGCCCCTGAGGGCATCTGCCTGCCGCCCATCTTTTCCGCACGTCTGTCCCCGCAACGCTCGCCACTACAGCCTGAGTTGTTTGCTTCCTCGCCTCAGTCGGCGGCTGTTTTTCTCATGCAGCAACGCCACAAGCCCGGGCTTCAGGTCCGAGCAAGAGCAACGTCGAAAGGAGGCAGATGAGGAGGAGGAGGAGGAGGAGGAGGAGGAGGAGGAGGAGCAGGAGGAGCAGGAGGCGGCAGCGGCGGAGGAGGTGCAGGCGGAGGAGGAGGAGGAGGAGGAGGAGGAGGAGGAGGAGGAGGAGGAGGAGGAGGCCGCCGGGCCGCTCGGCGGCCTCGGGACGCCGCGCCGCGGCGGGCGGCCGCACGCCCTCGGCGGGCGGGCGCTGGTCGGGCGCGGGCGGGCAGCAGTGCGGCGAGGAGGGCGCGCTCCTGGCCGGGCCGGCGGCGGCGGGCGGCGGCGGCGGTGACGCAACGACCATAGACAAGCCGTGCCCGCGTGCTGGTAAGCGAAAGCGTGCGCCTCAGCATCTCGGTCGATCCGAACAAAAGAGCACGGCGGCCATCTGCACTGTCAGCACGGCTGCATCACTGCGCGCTCCACTACTCGCAAAGTAGCTACTCGCTAATGGCCTGGATCCGCCGCAGGGGATCTACGATGTATATATCTATATATATATATGATAGAAAAAACAGACGTGCGGCGTTCGACGTTTGCGAGGAGGCACTCTGCGAGCAGTGTAACGCGCTCGGCGAACGACGACGTCGGCGGCGCCGGCGGAGGAGCGGGGGCGGCCGAGGGCCGCAGGGCGCGGGTTCCCAGAGGGGGGGCAGCCGTACGGAGGAGGGAGAGGAGGATGGGCGCCCGGAGGCCGCGAGGCGCTCTCCCGCTCCCCCCCCCCCCATGGCTCCGCCTGCAGCCCCTAGGAGAAGGCCTCGGGGAGGGGGCGGCCTAAAGGAGGAAAGGACGCGGGACGCGCTATCCTGAGAGGGGGCGAGGACGACGACAACGACCCCCTCCCCCCAAAAAGCCATCCCCAGACCCCTCCTGGGAGGCGCTCCGGCAAGAAGTTCGAGGGGAGCCCGGCCGTGACGACGAGACGCGTCCCAGAGGCCGGAAGAGGGCGGAACACCTAGACAAAGGACAGCAAGCACAAACCCCAGCCTCCGACGAGAGGGCGTCGCCTGGTGGGCGTCGGCACCTGCCACAAGGGGTCGCCCACGGGGCTGCAGGGGCAGGCGCTGGACGTCGCGCTGCCGTGACTCCTGCAGGCGTGGGCGGCGCTCCCCTCCGCCCTGCTCCCAGCTCCCAGCTCTCGGTTCCCTCCTCCCCCCATCTCCCCTCCTGACCCATTCTCATCAACCTCCTCCTCCCTCCTCCCTCCTCCTCCTCCTCCTCCTCCTCCTCCTCCTCCTCCTCCTCCTCCTCCTCCTCCTCCCCTCCTCCTCCTCGTCCTCCTCCTCCCCCTCCTCCTCCTCGTCCTCCTCCTCCTCCCCTCCCCCTCCCCCTCCCCTCCCCCTCCCCCTCCCCTCCCCCTCCTCCTCCTTCCTCCTCCTCCTCCTCCTCCTCCGCCACCTCCACCTCCTCTCCTCCTCCTCCTCCTCCTCCTCCTCCTCCTCCTCCTCCTCCTCCTCCTCCTCCTCCTCCTCCTCCTCCTCCTCCTCCTCCTCCTCCTCCTCCTCCTCCTCCTCCCTCCTCCTCCTCCTCCTCCTCCTCCTCCTCCTCCTCCTCCTCCTCCTCCTCCTCCTCTCCTCCTCCTCCTCCTCCCCCTCCCCTCCCCCCCCTCCTCCCCCCCTCCTCCTCCTCCTCCTCCTCCTCCTCCTCCTCCTCCCTCCTCCTCCTCCTCCTCCTCCTCCTCCTCCTCGATCCTCCTCCTCCTGTAAGAGCCGGCGCTCTGGCTGACCCCCGTCTGCATCGATCCCCGTCTCAAAACTCCCGATCATAATCGGTCCCCTGACCCCTTCCGGGGTCCATCTTCTGGGGTCCATCCGTTTCTCCAGGCGGACGCAGCCGTGGCGGCGAGAAGCCTTCAGGAGGCCTAGCATGGGACGGAAAACGGGAGGGACGGTGAGCGTTTTGTTATTCGGCGTTTCGACATTGGGCGGAAAGGGGGGGAGAGAGGGGGGGGGCCTGGCTCCGGACCTCTGCTTAGTACGACTGTTTGCGGCAGGGCGTCCTATGGGGGAGAGGCTCCACCTGCTCGAAACATGCGCCAAAAACAGCCAAGATCTACTCCAGGAGGGGGGGGGAGGGGGGGTCCGAGGGCCCGCGCCGCTCGGCTAAACAAGGAATTCGCCGGCCCAACGGGCCAGGGCGTGCTAAGATCTCCGGTACCTGGTTAACAGTATTTCTAGTTCGCGCGCGCGGGGCGGCCCCTGGGGGTCCCCGGACGAAAAGTACCCCGGCAAGGTCCCGGCAAGTCCCCGGCAAGTCCCCGGCAAGGTCCCGGCAAGGTCGGGTCAGAGATGCCGGAGTTCTGTTTCGGAGTCCAAGAGGGCTCCAGATCGGTCCAAGAGGGCCCCGAGAAGCTTTCTAGACGGTCCAAGAGAGGCCCGAGACGGCCAAAGATCGCCCGAAGACGCCCCAGATGGCCCCAAGACAGCCCAAGAGGCCTCCAAGACGCTCCAAGGGCCTTCCAAGAGGCCTCCGAAGAGGGCCCCAAGTTGCCAAAATCGTTGATTTTCATTGTTTTTTCTATGTTTTTTTGCGTTCTGGCCTTTTCGCTTCCGGACGCTCCAAGAGGGCCCAAGAGGCCTTCAAGACTGCTCCAAGACGGCCCACGAGGCTCCCAAGACGGCCCCGGAGCGGCCCAAGAGCGCCCCCCAGACGGCCCAAGTGCTGCCCAAGGCGGACCAAGAGGCCCCAAGACGGGCCCAAGAGGGGCTCAAGAAGGGAACCGAGAACTGAAAAATCGAGCCCTCCGCCCCAGAAGGCGCCCAGGACCCCGAAAGAGGCCCCAAGAGACTCTCCAAGACACCCCCAAGACGCCCCAATAAGCTCCCGTGAGGCCCCAAGAAGACCAACAACGTCAGGCCCCAGGCCCCAAGAGGACCAACAAATACCGCCAAGAGCCCGCCGAAAGCCCCCCAAGAGACCGTCACGAGAGCTCAGGAGGCCCCCTGGAGGCCTCCCGAGCTCTCCAAGAGGCCTAAAAAGAGGCGCCAAGAGGCCCCAAACGGCCCCACCGAGGCTCCAAGAGGCCACGAACGCGCAAGCAAACGCCTGCGATGGCACAATACGGGCCGGCGGAATGAGCGAAGCGATTAAATAAAAAAGATCGCATGGCCGCCGTTGTCTCCACTGGCCCTCCTCCGACCCTCCCTCGGCTATGCGCAGGAGTAGCCCCTGGGCGGGATAAGGAACACAGTAATAAAAATACGAAGAATCCGCCGACCCCTTGGGGTCATCGGCGTGTGAGATGCTTCCCCCCTCCCCAAACCCCTCCCCCCGGAGCCTGGTCCGGTCGTTTTGGAGGGGGGGGGGGGGGGGTCCGGCCGGATTCCCCGGGATCCGCCGGCGCGGTCCGGGGGGGGTCATCCGCTCCAGAGAGTCTGCTGGGGGGGCCGCAAACGAGCGAAGAGGCTCCCAAGAAGCTCTGCAGACGGTCCAAGAGGGCCCCGAGTCGCCGAAAAAACACTCGAAGACGGTCAAGATGGCCTCCAGATGGCCCCAGATGCCTCCAAGACGCCCCAAGAAGCTTCCAAGACGCCTCCCAAGATGGCCCCAAGAGGCCAAAATCGTCGATTTCCATTGGTTTTTTCAACGTTTTTGGCCTTCGCGTTTTTTCGGGCTTCCGACGCTCCAAGACGGCGAAAGAAGCCCCCAAGACGGCATCAAGACGACCCGAGAGGCTCCCAAGTGGGCCCCAACACGGCCCAAGAGCGCCTCAAAACGGCTCAAGAGGGCCTTCAGACAGTCCAAGAGGGCCCACAGAGGGGCCCAAGAAAGGCTCCAGACGGGGACCACGAACCTAAAATTCTAGCCTTCCGCCCCAAAAGGCGCCAAGGAGGCCCCAAGAGGCCTCCAAGAGGCTCCAAGAAGCCCCCAAGAGGCCCCCAACAAGCCCAAAAAAAGCCCCAAGCTGCCCCAAAACAGCTCCCCAGAAGCCTCCAAACTGCCTCCCGCAGGCCCCCGAGAGGATTCTCACGACGACGGCGCCAGAGGCTCCCACAACGGTCAACGAAGCCCCCAAGATGGCCCCAAAAAGGTGCCCAGCCTACGCCGTCGAGTCTGTCGCCGCCATTGTCGTCCTCGTCGTGTTCTCCTGCTCCTTCTCATCCTCCTCTTCCGCCCCCTCCTCCCGTCTCCCCTCTCAGCTTTCTGTCTCGTATTCCCTCCACTGGCTCACTTTTCACCTTCTCCGCCTTTGGCTGCTCCCCCATCCTCCCTCCTCCACGTCCCCCTTATCCATCCCGTCCCCAGCGGTCAGATTCCTCGCAACTTCCGTGCCTTGTCGCAATGCTCGTCACTTGGTTCCGCCGGGCGTTTCGGAGGAGGAGGAGGAGGAGGAGGAGGAGGAGGTTAATAATAATAATAACAATAATAATGATGATAATAGTAGTAATAATAGTAGTAATAATAATAATAATTATTAACAAAAAATAATAATGATAATACTAATAAAAATTATTATTATTATTATTATTATTAATAATAAGAATAACACTAATAATACTAATGATAATACTAATAAGAATAATAATAATCACAATAATAATAACACTATGAACAATAATAATAGTATTATAATAATAATAATAATAAGAGTAAAAATAATAATAATAATAAGAAAAATAATAATCCGCCGACCCCTTGGGGATCATCGGCGTGTGAGATGCTTCCCCCTCCCCAAACCCCTCCCCCGAGAGCCCGGTCCGGTCGATTTGGAGGGGGGGGGGTCCGGCACGAGCGCAGCACGGCCGGGACGAGCGCAGCACGGCCGGGACGAGCGGTTCACGGAGCTTTTCCGGGCCCAAGAGGGCCTCAAGACGGGCCAAGAAGCCCCCAAGAGGCCTCCAAGACGGCCCACGAAGGCCCCGAGACGCCAAACGACCGCTCCAAGACGCCCAAGATGGCCCCAAGACGGGCCAAGAGGTCTCCAAGACGGCCCCCGAGGTCCCAAACAAGCCTCCCAAGAGGCCCCAAGAGTCTAAAATTGTTGATTTTCCATAGTGTTTTTCTATGTTTTTTGCTTTTCCGCCTTTTCGGCTTCCCGACGCTCCAAGACGGCCAAAGAGGCCCCAAAGACAGCCCCAAGATGGCCCAAGAGGCCCCCAAGACGGCCTCCAGACGGCCCAAGACGGCCCCAACACGGCCCAAGAGGTCCCCAAGACGGCCCAAGAGGGCTCCAAGACGGCACCAAGAGGGGCCCAAGAGGGCGACCAAACATGTTGAAACTCTAGCTTTCTGCCCCCAGGAGCCCCAGGGGGCCCCAAGAGTGCCCCAAGAGGCCCCCAGAGGCCCTCACGAGGCCGCCCAGACGCCCCAAGGAACCCCCAAGAAGCACCCCAGAGGCTCCGAAACGGCCCCCAAGTGGCTCCAAAACTCGCTTCCAGAGGCCCCCGAGAAGCGATCCGCGAGATCCCGATACACATACAAGAAGCCTCTCACCCATAACCCATAACCCAGAGCCCCTTCGCAGCTTCTACTACCCCCAGATTGGCATAAACAAGGGGTCGGCGGTGTGGCGTAAGCCTAAGAATAATGTGATAAGAAAAAAAAAAGAATCATAAGAGGAGGAGGAGGAGGAGGAGGAGGAGGAGGAGGAGGAGGAGGAGGAGGAGTCGCCAAGTTCCCGGTTCCCGGTTCCCGGTTCCCGGTTCCCGGTTCCCGGTTCCCGGTTCCCGGTTCCCGGTTCCCGTTCCCGGTTTCCGGTTCCCGGTTCCCGGTTCCCGGTTCCCGGTTCCCGATTCCCGATTCCCGATTCCCGGCTCCCGGTTCCCGGTTCCCGGTTCCCGGTTCCCGGTTCCCGGTTCCCGGTTCCCGGGTTCCCGGCTCCCGGTTCCCATGCAATTCCCGGTTCCCGGGTCCCGGTTCCCGGGTTTCCCGGTTCCCGGGTCCCGGTTTCCCGGTTCCCCGTCTCCCGGTTCCCCGTCTCCCGGCTCCCGGTTCCCGGTTCCCGCCGGGAACCGGGACCCGGCGGGTCCCTGGCTCCAGGCTCCGGGCTCTGGGCTCCCGGCTCCTGGCCTCCGGCCGGGTCTCGGTTCCCGGTTCCCGGCTCCCTGCTTCCAGCTCCCAGCTCCTGGCTCCGGGTTCCTGGTTCCTGGGTCCCGGGTCCTGTGGGTCCTCGCGGTCCCATAGATAGCTGCCATAGAACCCGGTTCCTGGTCCCCGCATCCCGGTTCCCGGTTCCTGGCTGTGGGTTCCCGGCTCCCGGTTTCCGGTTTCCAGTTGCCGGCTCCGGGCTCCCGATCCCGCTTCCCAGAGCCTTCCCGGTTCCCAGTTCCCGGCTCCCGGTGCCTTCTTGACTGCGAGCCCACTGGGGTCTTATGGGCTCAAGAAGAGAGCATCGGAGTCCCATATGGAGACCAATGGAGTGCGCTAGTCAACTAGTGACTGACGTGCGAGACACGTGGGAGCCCCCACGGGCGGGTCGGGCGGGCGACACCCTAGCGGGCGGGTCGGGTCGGGTCGGGCGGGCGCGGGACATTAAAGTACGGTGCACCATCTGCTTTGCACGCGATCACCTTGACGAACGGCTCGGGCCGAGCGGGGGGACCCAGGTCGCGCGGGCGGGGCATGAAAGTACGTTGCATCATGTGCTTGGCACGCGAGAACCCAAGCGGGCGGGGCGGGGCGGGCGGGCGTGACAATAAAAGATGGTGCGTCATCAGTCGGGCACGCGAGAACCCTGACGGGCCGATTGGATCGGGCGGGACATAGAAATCTGGTGCATCGTTTAGCTGGCACGCGAGTGCCTTACGGGCGTGCCCCCCTGGATGCCCCCCCCGATGGCCCCACCAGTATCCTGTGGGGAAGGAGCGAGAGGAGGACGAACTCCAGGACCACCAAGAGCGGGGGCGACGACGAGGAGGGAGAAGAAGGAGGACGACGTGAGGCATCTCCGGCCGCCGCCGGCCGCCAGCCGGAACGTTGGAGCCCTCGCCATGAGTAGGACCTCTGTCGCTTTGAAAACTAGACGGCCGACGGAGGGCCACATCCTCTCACCTCCTCCTCCTCCTCCTCCTCCTTTTCGTCCTCCTCCTCCTCCTCCTCCTCCTCGTCGTCCTCCTCCTCCTCCTCATTCTGTCCTCCTCCCTCCTCTTTTCGTCCTCGTCGGGCTTGGGGGGGGCGACTAAAAGGCCCCCGCTTCCCGAGGCTCCCCGAGTTTCCTCACACCTCCCTGGCGCTCAAAGCCGCCCAGATGGCCAAGATGGCCCAAGATGTCTCCAAGACGACGCAAGAGAGATCCATAATGGCCCAAGATGGCCTCAGGACCGAAGAAGAAGCCTCCAAGACGGCCCAAAAGGGCTCCGAGGGAGGGAGCCCCCAGGAAGGCCCGAAGACGGCAAAATCATGGTCATTGTATTTTTCTAGCTTTCGAAACATCTTCGCATTACCGCCATTTCCAGCTTTCGTCAGCCCAAAACGGCCCAAGAGGGCTCGAAGATGGCCGCACGACGGCCCAAGAGAGCCTCAAGGAAACCCAAAGACAGCCTCAAGACAGCGCAAGAGGGCCCCTGGAAAGCCCAGGACGGACCCACGAGGGCCTCAAGCTGGCCCCACAAGGCCTCCGGAAGAACCCAAGACGGCCCAAGAAGAACCGACCGACCAAGACAGTTCCACGACGGCCCCCAAAGAACCCCCAGACGGCCACTCAGGCCCCAAGAGAGCCCCAGGACGGCACAAGGGGGCCTTAAGACAGCCCAGTAAGGCCCCAAGGGACACCAAAGACTACTCCTGAGGAGCCCAGGACAGACCAATGATGGACCAAATGAGGTCCATGTGGCCCCTGCAGATGTGTATGAGAAAGGTGTCACATGTGACGGCCATCCTTTTCGCTGCCGTCTTCCTCCTCTTGATATTTCTCTTCCGATGCGGGCCGATGCTGCGAACGCACAGAACAAGCGGTTGGGCGAAACGCAGAGCGAACAACTACACATGGGTGGCAATCTCGAAACTGTTGGGGCGGATCTCAAAAACGACGTGAGCTGAAGGCATTCAGGTGACGCAGCGCGGGCATGAACCTTCACGCAAAACGGCCGTCGTTCGTACATTGAAATATTTTGTTCGCGACATGCGACCCTTCGTAACGCTGGGTTACGGGCAAAATACAAATCTCCACTCACGACGTGCGAGTCTTAGCCATGACACAGTGGCTGTCTAATGTAAAATCGGTTCGTCAACGTCTAAGCGCGGACTGGCTGAACAGCACATGCAAAAGGCGGTTTGCCACATGGCGCAGCATCCACCGATGCACGGCTTCAGTTGACGCAGTTGTTTATTCCCTACGCATGCTCTGCCTAGAAGGGCTCTTACTTTCTTAGCTTACAGGAACCGGGCAGTGGAACCCGCCCCGGGCGGTTCCCCCAGCCCCCTGGGAGCCAAGCAACAGCAAAGGTAAAAGCAAACGCGCGGCTCCCCCAGTTCCGCTCCCTGGGCGCCAAGCAAAAGCAAAAGCAAAGGCAAAAGTGAAGGCAAAAGCGAAGGCAAAGAAAAAACATAGCATTGCATAGCATAGCACAGCGCAGCGTAGCATAGCGCAGCATAGCATAGCATAGCACAGCATAGCCTAGGCATAGCATAGCATAGCATAGCATAATAGAGCACAGCATCGTAAAACATAGCATAGCATACCTAGAGGCTCCAACTCCCAGGTAGGGTCGCACTGGGATAATTTGCCACGACGCACTGGGTAAGAAACCTATGTGCAACATCTTCTGTAGTAGGGCTGTATAACCGATAACGGCGACAGCTCTGGTCCACCCGGTCCCTCGGCGGCGCGCTGGCCCGGCCGCCCTTCTACCGAACGTCGTCAAGCGCGCTGTGAAACGCCGTCAGGGGGGGGCCTCACTGGGCCCAGCGGCACGCTCCAACGGCTCATCGCCGCGGCGGACGCAGACCCCCGGTCGCCGGCGCGGGAGCGCACGGCGCCGCCAGGCGCATCGCCGCGGCTGCTGGGGCCCGCCGCTGCCGGGCCAGCGCGCCCCGCAGCCGCGCTGCGGCGAGAGGGCTGCTGCGCGGGCTGACTGCGGCGAGGGGGTTGCTGCGCGGTCTGCTGCGCTGGCTGCTCCGCTGGCGTCTGCTGGGCCTCGCGCGCAGCCTGGCCGGGTGCTGGGCGCGCAGAGCGGCCGCTCCACTTTGCCCTGCGGGCGGCCAGGTCCCGCAAGGCCACGCGGCAGCACCGCATCAGCTCGTTGTGGAACAAAACTTTTCCCTGCTGGGACTCTGGCCACGCCCGGAACTCCACCTCGTTCATGGCGTCGTCCAGGAAGCCGCCCAGGCGAGGGAACTGCGCAAATGCGGCCTGGAGCACGTCGCGGGCCTCATCTCGCGAAGGGCGCACGCGCTTCTTGCGCTTGCGGGCAGCGTTCTCCGCGCCCCCGCCCGGGTCGCAACTGGCCACGGAATAGTTGTCCACCAGGCTTCCCAACTTGGCCCGAGCGGCGCCAGAAAGCAAGCACTGGCGGACGAAGGCCCTGTCCAAGAAGGGAGTCGTCGCGCCGGGGTCAACGGAAAATATCATGTTACCCTTGGGGCCCAGCCCCACTTTGTCGAAGTTCGCTTCCGTTTCCACGTCCCCCCAGCAGAGCGGGGCCGCGAGCGGCGAAGGCGCCGTCTCCTCTCCGGCGCCCGGCGCGGGGGCGCTGGCAGCGGCCGCCGGCGGGGAGGCAGCGGCCGCCAGAGGGGGCGCCTGGTGCTGCTGCTGAAGCGGCTGCCCCTCGCCCTCGGCGCGGGCTCTCGCGAGGTCGGCGAGACGGCCTCCTCCTCCTCTTCCTCCGGCCTCGGCGAGCGCGGGCTCTCCGCAGGCTGCGAGCCCTCGCTTCCAGCGCGCCCCGGCGGCGCGCCGCGGGAGACCCCCCCGGCGCCGTCGCCGCGCGAAGCCAATTCTGCCCCATCCTCTTCGTCGTCTGCCGGGGAGAGGGGGTCGGCGGGGCCGCCGCCGGCGCCGCCCGCGAGCTCGGTCGCGGGGAATGGCGGGAGCTGCGTCGGCAGCGCAGGCGCGTACAGGCCCGGCTGGCAGTCGCCGCGGATAGCATCCGCGAGGCCGAAACCGGGCGCGGCCAAGTCATCATCCTCAACGGGGGGCACCGCGCGCCAGGCCTCCCGAATGAGGAGGCTTGTGTTCACCAAGCGCCACGCCGTCTCCACGTGGTCCTCCGTGATCAGCACGACGTCGTGGCCCTCGGGCAGAGGGGCGCCCCCGCCGTACTCCAGGACAGCCAGGAGCCCTGCGAAATTGCCCACGTGCTCCGCGGCTTTTGAATGGAGGGCGGCAGTGGGAACGTCATCCTCGCACATGTCAGCCCGATTGCTCTGCGCCACCTGGTTGCCCAGGAGGATCTTCTTGGCGCGGCTCTCGAACTCGAGCACGGCGTGCGGCTTATCTTTGAATAGTCCAGCAATGCGCCGAGCCGCCGCCCTGATGCGGTCCGTGGGGTCAGGCAGATTCCAACGCGAGGAGATGCGGTACTCGGTGGCGACGAGCCCGCCGTCTGGACGGCACAAGTACCGCAATCGACTCTGGTGGCCGTCAGGGAACGAGACGACGTAGCCGCCGGGAGGCCCCTGGATGACGAGGCCGCCCTCGCACGGCGCAGGCTGAGAGCGATCGTCGACCTGAAGCCCAGCGCGAATCGCCGCTGCGGGGTCGTCCTTAAAGTGATCCCACCCGTAGACCGCGGCTTGCTGGGCCGTGAGAGGCAGCCACGTCCACCCATCATCACCGGCTTCGAGCTCGCAGTCCTCGGGCAAAGGCGCGTGCCGAGGCACCGCGCGGTCGAGGCAGAACACGAATCGCTCTTTCGTGGCCGCCGTGTGGGAGCCCAAACAACCGCGGCCCATAGGAATGGCCTTGTCGGGGTGGGCGTTGCCGAGAATGGAGATGGACACGGTCTTGTCCCTCGACATGCCGAAATTGGTGCTTGTGCGCGTCGCCCTCCTGGTCTTGCCGGACTGCAACAGCGAATTCAGCAACGACGCGTTCAAGGAGGGCGTCTTGTCCTTGTCTTTGGTCGCATTACCGAGGAGGCCCAAACCGTCAAAGAACTCGTACGCCTCGTCCAGGTTGAAGCCGTTGCCGAACCAGACCCTGGCCGGGATGCCTGGGTCAGTCTTCTTATCCCCAACCTTGCACTCGACCTGCTTGCACGCAGCAGAACACCTGAAGAAAAACTCCGGGAACGTAAAACTCTGGAGGGCGGCAGAATTCACTACGAGTTCCCCGCCGACGCTGGCGTGCGCGTCTTGCCTCCCTTCGCGAGCCTCGTTGAACATGTGCTGGGCCAGGTCCGCCACCACGTCGTCGCAGGTGTCGAACATCTCCTCGATGACGGGATACAGACGACTCTTGCCTTTCTGCGGCACTGCCACCTGGATGACGACCGCGGTGAGAGGACGCGCTTTCTGCGACCACAGCTTGACGCGGGCGCCGTTCGTCAAGGCCGGGACGGCGCCCAGCAACATCATCGTCGTGGAATAAAAGCCCTGGCACGTGGTGGTCGCTATTGGGTGGACGAATTTATACACGGCTTCTGGCAAGTGCTCGGCGGCGTTGAAGTTCTCGTCGACCTTCTGCTGCGCGGCGTCCATGAGCGCGCGAATCTCGGCCGCGGTGAGCTCGGGGGGCGGGGTCTTCGGCATGGCTGCCGACAGAAGGCAGCCGAACTTGCGCGAGACCGCGCGCGGCGAGACGACGGCGCAGCCAGGGCTTCTGAAACGGGCTTCGGAAAGGGCAGGTGGGACAGACAGAATGCAAAGAAGAAGCGGATGCATTGGAGAGGTTGGCCGTGGCAAGATAATGGCCGGGAGACGATGCCACCACCGTCAACGAAGACTTCACACGGCTGGCGGCCTCAATGGGGCGATAGGTATTCCTGAAAACTTCTGATTTCGACCATCGCCGACACCGCGCCAAAGCAATGAGCGAGCACGGCCCGATAGATCGCAACCGCTCCGGCCCGGTACATGTGTGAATGTTCACAGGACGGCACGACACATGGAAACCGCTAGGGCTACCAGTGTAAATGTGAGACACACGACGCCAGACATCGTACTCGAAGCTAACAGTTCCAGTGTGAACAAAAGCGGTAGCATAGATGACCCCCCCCCGACCACTGCGAATGCGAACCAGGCGGCCCAATAGATCCCAGCCGTTAGGGGTATCAATGTAAATGTGAACCAATCGGGCTTGACCGCTTCAATTTTGCAACGCTGCTAGTGGATGCCTTGCCCTGTGTGGTTTGAACAGGGCGTCCTGCAATGGTGAGCGCTGCGAATTCCACCGACCATCTAGGCGTAGGTGGTGGCCTAACAAATTGTTGCCTAACACGCTCTGTGTGGCCTTTTTTAGAGACATTGTTTTTCTTCCTCTTCGGGCGGGGGGGAGGAGGGGGAGACAGGGAATGGAGGGAGAGTGCTGAAGGGAGGAGGGATAAACTCAGCATTGGAGGACGTACATCCGTCGAGGGCACGTAGATGAAGTGCCGGTGGCAAAGGGCAGGAGGCGGTGAGGGACGGGGGGAAGCAGGTCGGGGGGCAGGGAGGGTGGGAGAAGGGGGGAACTCTCAACATTGGGGGTTCTTTCGTTTGCGAACGGTGATGAGGTATCGGTGGAGGGGGGGGGCGAAGTGGGGGAGGGAAAGAGGGGAGAAAACAGGAGAGAGGTGTGGAGAGGGGGGGGGCGCTCCATCAAGGAGATTTGCCAAGAGACCGGAAGCACACGGAGACCATGACTTCCATATTCGCCACCGTGCCGCGAGGCGCGGATTTCAGTGTTCCCAAATTCCGGTGCGTACTCTCTCCTGAGTCGTGAAAGAATCAATAGAACGGAGCCCGGACCCGCAGCTCTCAAATCTCCCGGGGCTTCTCGCGTGTCTCCTGGGGCTCCCCGAGTGTTGTCACATGTTCCCTACCTCGGCTCTGCCTAGAAGGGTTCTTGCCCTCTTAGCTTAAAGGGGCCGGGCAGTGGAAATCGCCCCGGGCGGTTCCCCCAGGATCCGCCCCGCGGTTCCCCCAGTGACAATCCCTTAGCTTAGCGTTGTTTATCTCATCTTAGCTTAGCTTATTTCATCTTAGCTTAGCTTGGCTTCATCTTAGCTCAGGTGTATCTTAGCTTTAGCATAGAAGAGCACAGCATAGCATAGCGCAGCATAGCATAGCATAGCATAGCATAGCATAGCATAGCATAGCGCAGCACAGCACAGCCTAGCACAGCGCAGCATAGCATCGCATAGCATAGCATAGCGCAGCACAGCACAGCACAGCGCAGCATAGCATAGCATATCATAGCGCAACATGACATAGCATAGCATAGCATAGCATAGCACTATCATAGCGCAGCATAGCATAGCATAGCATAGCATAGCATAGCATAGCACAGCGCAGCAAAACATAGCACAGCTTATCATAGCATAGCATAGCGCAGCATAGCATAGCATAGCATAGCATAGCATAGCATAGCATAGCATAGCATATCATAGCGCAGCATATCATGGCACAGCAAAGCATAGCACAGCAACTAATGCTGCTTTCCTAGGGGCTCCAACTTCTAGGTAGGGTCGCACTGGGGTATTTTTTTCGAAGCCAAGAAGGCCTGAAGACGGGCCAATAAGGCCCGAAGAGGCCGCGCCGGCCCAAGAGGGGTCCGAGTCGCCAAACGATCGGTCAAAGACGCCCGAGATGGCCTCAGGACGGTCCAAGAGGCCTCCAAGACGCCCCGATAAGGAGGGCCCCAAAAGGCAAAAGTCAATGATTTCCCATGAGTTGTTGAAATTTTGTGGCGTTCTCGCCTGTTCGGCTTCCCGACGCTCCAAGACGGCCCAAGAGGTCCCCAAGATCGCCCCAAGAGGCCTCACGCTCCACAGGGCCGAAGGGCGCCAAGACGGCGTGAGGAGCCTCCAAGACTGCCCAAGAAGCACCCAAGACGGCTCCAACAAGGGGGCCCACAGGGGAGATCCGAACGGACCATTCCAGACTTCGGCCCCGAGAGGCCGCCAAGCGGCCCCCCAAAAGACCAAGAAGCCCCCAATATGCTCCCAAAAGAACACCCCCAAGGCGCCCCGAAGAGGCCTCAAACTGCTGCCCAGAAGCCCCCGAGAGCGCTCCGATGAGACCCCAAGAAGCATTCGGCCGATGCCGCCGGCCACCCGGAAGGCCACGCAAACAACTTCAACGTCAGAAAGGAAGTCCCTCAAGACGGGTCAAAATGGCCTCCAAGAAGGCCAAGATGGCCTCCAAGTTCGCCCAAGAAGGTCCGCGATGGCCTCCAAGATGGCCCAAGAGGGGTCTAAGATGCCTCCAAGTCCGCCCAAGAAGGCCCAAGAGGCCCCCAAGAGGCCTCCAAGACGGCCTCCAAGAGGTTTTCCAGGAGGGCCCGAAGAGGCCAAAAGCATTGATGTTCCTGAAATTGCTGAAGGAGCTTGGCATTTGCTTCTGTTCGGCCTTCCGAAAGCCCAAGACGGCCCAAGAGGCCCCCAATATCTCCCCAAGATGGCACCGAACGCCTCCAAGATGAGCCCATGCCGGCTCAAGAAGCCTCCAAGACAGGCCCAAGAGGGCCTCCAAGTTCGCCCAAAGTGGTTCGAGATGGCCTCCAAGACGGCCAAAGAGGCCTCCAAGCGATCCCCCAGGGGGACCCGAAGAGGCCAACATCATTGATTTCCCATAAGCTTTTGAAGGATTTGGGCATTTGTTTCTTTTCGGCATTTCGACGGCCCAAAAGGCCCCCAAGATCGCCCCAAGATGGTCTTCAAGGCCTCCAAGATGATCCCATGACGGCCCCTGAAACCTTCAAGACGGCCCCCAGAGGGCCTCCAAGGTCGCCAAACAAGATCCAAGATTGTTTCCAAGACGGCCCAAGAGGGTCCAAGATTGCCTCCAAGTTGGCCCCAGAGAGTCCAAGATGCCTCCAAGCCCGCCCAAGAAGCCTCCAAGACGGCCTAAGAGGCCCCCAATAGGCCTCCAAGACGGCCTGGGGAGAAGAGGTCCTCCATAAGGGCCCGAATATGCCCAAATCAATGTTTTTCTTTTAATATTTGGGCCTTCCGACGGCCCGAGACGGCCCAACCCCAAGGTCGCTCCCAGATCGCCAAAACACCTGCAATATGGCCCCGTGATGTCCCAAGAGGCCCCCACGACGGCTCTCAGACGGCCCCAAGACGGGCCAACATGATCGACCCACGAACCCGGAAAGGAATGTAGAACTGTAACACATGGCAGCATTTTCAAAGACACCTGATTGGGTGACGGGCAAATGCAATACTGAAGGTATCGATCTTGATGTACCCTGCCGAGGGCTGTGCTGTGCTGCGCCGTGCTGAATTGCGATGTGCCATGGCGCGACTGTGCTCTATAGCCTCGTGGATCGAGTCCTCCTTTGCATCCGAGTCCTGACCGAACTGATCTGGATCTTAAGCTCGAGCTGCCTGAACACATAGTAGCTGCCCCAGAGCTAATGGACAGGGGAACATGCCAGGAGGACGCGCCGCGAAACGTCCCAAGGGATGCGCCAGGCGACGTGCCAGGGGACGTGCCATGGGGTCGCACCGCGGGACGTGCCAAGGGGACGCGCTACGGAACGTGCCAATGGATGTGCCACGGGATGTGCCAGGGGACGCGCGACGCGACGTGCCAGGGGGACTCGCCAAAGGACGCCCCACGGAACGTGCCAAGGAACGTGCCAAGTTGCAATGCTGAGTGCATCGACCTTGATGTACCGTGCCGAAATCAGTGCTGTGCTGCGCCGTGCTGAATTGCGATGTGCCATGGCGCGATTGTGCTCTATAGCCTCGTGGATCGAGTCCTCCTTTGCATCCGAGTCCTGACCGAACTGATCTGGATCTTAAGCTCGAGCTGCCTGAACACATAGTAGCTGCCCCAGAGCTAATGGACAGGGGAACATGCCAGGAGGACGCGACGCAGAACGTCTCAAGGGACGCGCCAAGCGACGTGCCAAGGGACGTGCCATGGGGACGCATCGCGGGACCTGCCAAGGGGACGCGCTACGGAACGTGCTGGGGACAAGCGTTTCGCTCGAGACATCCTGTCAAAATCATCGGAATTCCTGCGAGCGGGACGTGAAAACAAGCATTTCGCCTGAGACATCCTTTTGAATTCTGGCCCCCCACGAGGCCACCGCTCGAGACATCCTCCAATTTTGCAAAACCAGCGTTTCGCTCGAGACATCCTCAACAAATTATGAAAAACAAGCGTTTCGCTCGAGACATCCTGTCAAAATCCCAAGAAATCCAAATACCCGCGCGCGGGACGCGGCACGCGCGAGACATCCTTGGAATTCCTGCGCGAGGGGCGCTTTTCCGTGTCGCGGTCGGCTCTGCAAAACCAGCGTGTCGCTCGAGACATCCTCAACAAATTCTGAAACCAAGCGTTTCGCTCGAGACATCCCCAACTCTGCAAAACCAGCGTCTCGCTCGAGACATCCTCAACAAATTCTGAAAAAACAAGCGTCTCGCTCGAGACATCCTCAAAAATAAGTTCGCCGGCCCTACTCCGTGCGTGCCCGCTCGCAAAATAATTTCGCCGGCCCAAGTCGCAGGGGGGCCGGGGGGTTAACCAACTAAAAGAGAACCCTGGGCCCACGCCCTTTCCGGGAAAAAAACCCCAAGACGCCCACGATAGCGTTCCAGACGGCCCTGAAGCACCACAACAGGGCCCGAAGTCGGTTCAGGAAGGCCCCCCAGACGGCTTCCGACGGCGCCCTGCATGCCAGGAGCGCCGTAATACGGCGAAGGAGGCGCCCAAGAAGCCCCAAAAAGCCACGAAAAGGCCCAAGGATACCCCCCCCCCCCAACAGACCTCCAAGAGGCCCCCGATAATCTCCCAGGAAGCTTCACTCGTGGCCCAAGAGGCTCCAAAGAGGCCTCTTCCTCCTCCTCCTCCTCCTCCTTGTATTATTTGTCCTCTTCCTCCTCCTCCTCCTCCTCCTCCTCCTCCTCCTCCGCCTCCGCCTCCGCCTCCTCCTCCTCCTCCTCCTCCTCCTCCTCCTCCTCCTCCTCCTCCTCCTCCTCCTCCTCCGCCTCCTCCTCCTCCTCCTCCTCCTCCTCCTCCTCCTCCTCCTCCTCCTCCTGATATTCCCCGTCATCCTCTCCCAAAGGTCCCCCTTGTAGAGTTTCCAGAACAGCTGGAGGAACACATAGTCCGATAGGTTGGGCGATTTTGGGGCCCAACGTGGGGCCACGAGGGGGCGCTTCCCAAAATGGCATGGGGCGGCGTTGATTCACCGCTGGCGTCTTGGATATAGAACGGCCGGTATCCCCTTTTTCTCCCTGCGATTTTTATTCCAAACTCAATGCGCGCGTGAACCGCCGCCCCGTATATTCCGCCAGGGACGACGTGGGAGAAGCATTTCCCCGCCGTCGGCCCAGGCGTGAAAAAACTGTGGCCTACTAAAACGTCGCGCGCGGCAAGTGCCTGCAGCGTGAGCGAATCCAAGCAAAATCACCCTTTTAAAACTCGCGCGCCCGGCATTCCCGGAGCCGCGGTCGCGCTGCGCCAATGCAGTCACGAGGGCTTCATACGCGCTGCGCGCGTAGGCCGCGCGTCTGCGTGCGCGCCATGCACGCCAAGGGAATGGTCAGAAAGCACGAAAAGGAGAGAGGAGGAGGAAGAGGAGGGTGCATAGGAGGGGGTATCACTACGTGAGAGCCAGGACAATCTCAATGCTCCAGACACTGTCCTACGCACGTGGCCGAAATGCGGCCGCGGGCATGCAACCTGAAGCGGGCGGCAATCTATGTTTGCAGGCCCACCGCCGACACGATCGCGCGACTCGCTGGCCGCCCAGGGACAACTGCCAGAATGAACGGAAGGGAGGGGGGAAGGACGAAGAGAGGGGGGCGGGAGAAAGCGGAGGCACGGCGAGTAGTCACGAGCCCTACGCTGATGGGTCTGAAGCAACGAACTAGTGCTCCGACGTCGGTCTCCACGTCATAAAAAACCCCGCGCCGAGCCGGAAGGCGCGTTCCGAGACTAGCCAGAGGGGAAAGGGAGGGAACGGAAAAAGTAAGCGAGGGAGAGGGGGGCAGCTGTGGGCGACAAGCCCTCATAATCCGCGGCCCGCGTCGGTCTGGCCGCCAGTGCAGGCGAGGCCGGACGCGGCCGTCAGCGGCTGCTAGAAGCCGCCGCGCGCTCTGCGGCGCAGAGCTTTTCCTGCGCCTTCTTCTTTGCCCGAGCCACCTTCCTCCGCTCAACGCCGCGACGCGCCTCCGCAAGAGCGAGGACGCGGCGGCTGCTCACGTCCACCATCTCCGCCACGGCAAGGATGCACATCCAGCGGCCCATGTGATGGATAGTATGAGCTAGGGGGGATAGGTCCGAGTTCTTCACCTCGCAGATGTTCGTGGGGAACTTCCGGAGGAGCGCCTGGTTTTCCGGCAGAGATGGCAAGCAGTGCTTCTTGCACCACGCCCCCACGTGCGCGCTCGCGTGGTACTCGTCGACGATGCACGCGACGTCGGCCGCCAGCTCCTCGGCGATCGGAGAACTGGCCCGGTTCGCCTCCATCATCAAGCGCAAATGGCACGCGTCGTCGTGGACGATGACCTAGGCAACGGGGGCGGGGACAAGAACCATCGGACGCCCCCCCGCGGCCACGGGGCCAGGCTTGGAGGGTGTCGCGGCGTGGGGGCGGGGGCCGGTGCAAGAAGAGGGTTTGGCCCGAATCCCGCCTTCAAATCTGGGTGCCGGCTCTTTAGCATGGCCAAGAAGCGGCATCGCTGGGACAAGGATTCCACCCCCACTAACTCGTCGATGTCGACGATGACCCCCGAAGCGCTAACCGCCGTGAGGAAGCCGCCAGTCCGGGCAGCGGCCACGATGTGGTTCGGGGTCTCCTTATGCGTCCCGCACTCCGACTTCTGGCGCGGCCCCAACGAACTCCACGAAGACATGAATGAACGCTCTCTCCTCCTCTTCAGTTTGGCGACAAACCGGGCGGCGCGGAACTCCTCGCGCCGCTTCCGCCGCTCCATCACCCGGCGGCGCGCAGGGGCAGCGCCGATCGCCGCGCGCGCGGCCCCCGCGGAAGCCGGGCCGAGCCCCGGGGTGATCTGCAAAAGGCCTGGCCAGATCGCGGGGCGATCGCGCCTGGGGGGGCCCCCGTGCCGCCCCGCCCGCCCGAACGCAAGCGTGGCAAACTAAGGCGGCCGCTTTATTGTGCGCTAGGTTGGCGAAATAATGCGACAAGCGGGCCTCGTCTACAGTGCACGCGGGCTGCCACCTGTCACAATGGCCGACTTTGACCTCCAAGTGCTTTGCGTCCTTACCGTCGTGCAAAGCCTTTTTTGTTCGGTGGGCCACGATCTGCATGTGGCTTTCCTGGGAAGCGAACTGGGCGTTGTCCCGGCCCCGCGCGCGCTTGCAGCACAGCGGATCTTTCTTGCCGGGGGAATTCGGGCAACCCCGCAAAAGGTATTTGTTCAGCTCCCCGCACCACACCGTACTCGCAAACGGCATGCCACAAGTGCGACGGTATAGCTTAGCATTCCCATCAATTGCCAATATGTCTGGCCGGTCACCTGAAGATCCGAACTGACTCTTGCGCTTCCCTGCCATTAGGGGGCCGTACCACGTCCAAGATTCGGAAATGAGCCTCCCCAGCGGCTCCTGGAGGATCGATGATACAATCCCTCCTCGACGGCACGGGGTGCATTGTCCTGCTCGTTCCCAAAACACCCACCGAGCCCACGCCTGAGACAGCAACTTCCGGGCTTCCACCGGGACGGACCCTTCGTGGAGAAGCTCCAGCAACGCAGCTTCTCCGTGAAATGATGATCGTTGGAGGAATAACCTCGCACTCCACTGTCTAAGCCAAGTCACGGTCACGCCGAACTTCTTGTTTACTAGCCATATGTCCGGGTGAACGTGCTCGTCGTCGAGGACCTTCTTGTACTTCCCCCGGGAGCCCGACGTGGGTACCATCTTGAAGCCGCACCAATATGCAATTCCCCGTGACTTGTTGGCGCGAGCACATATGTCGCACCACCGTGGCACGTGGTAGGCGCGGAAGGGGGAGCTTTCAGCGACCACATAACACAGCGCGCCCGGACTGCCACGCCCACAAATGTCCTGCTGCGTCAGATGGGCACCGCATGCGGGGCAGAGCCTTCGTAAACTTGCAATGACATGCGGGAACGCCTCCATTCCGCGGTCGCGGAGACGATCCCGCAAGGCAGAAGTGGAGTCGGGAGGCAGCAGAAGGTCGCACCCGCTCTCATACAGAGCCTCCTGGAGAGCGGCCGAAGCCGATGTGCTGATACATGCCATGGAACCGATAGCAGGCCGGCCGTACGAATCAGGCAAGGTCAGATGGCGCTTGAGCCACAGGCTGCTGAGATGGATCGGTCACCCGTGGGCAAGAATCCTGCCAGCCACGCCCGCGTTCTTTATAGCCGCTGCCTCGCAGAAATACTACCCTAGCAAAGCACCCGAATAAGGATGTCGGCAAGTGAAAACGCGCAGGCCTAGGTTTTACTATCACGGCCCAGCCTCACGCTCGTTACGCGTGAATGGTGAGGAACCCATGGCGTTAACGCGCCTTCGTGACCGGTGAGACGTGGAATGGGCCCCTCGGGGTCCACCTTGTATGCCTGGCGCACGCCACATGAATAATCATCTAATTCAGAATCATCATCTAATCATCTAATTCGGAATGGCGCAGGCCATTCGCCGTTTCGCCTTTTCGCTTCCGAGGGCCATCCGAAGCCAATATGGCTCCCAGATGACCGAGGAGGGCCCCAAGAGTGGCCCAAGAGAGCCCCAAGACGGCCCCAAGAGCGCCCAGGAGCGCCCCAAGAGCGCTCCAAGAAGATTCAAGGAGACGGTTTTGTTGTGCTCCCGGGGAGGGGCGAGATTTGCGCCCCCAAGGCTCCCAAAAGCGCCCCAAGAGGGCCCCAAGAGGCGCCCAGGAGACCCCAAGAGGCGCTCCAAAGGCCTCTAAGAGGCTCCCAAAAGACCCCCAAGAGGCCCCACGAGGCTCCCCAAGGTACCAAAGACGCGCAAAGACGCCCCTGGGCCCGCCAAGAGGCCCCCCAGACGCCTCAAGAGGCCTTCAAAAGGCTTCCAAGAGACATCCGAAGAGACTCCGAGAGGCAGTCACGAGGCTTCTGGCTTTGCTGGTCGCCCCTTTCCTCCTCCTCCTCCTTCCTCCTCCTCCTCCTCCTCCTGCTCCTCCTTCTCCTCCTCCTCCTCCTCCTTCTCCTCCTCCTCCTCCTCTCCTCCTCCTCCTCCTCCTCCTCCTCCTCCTCCTCCTCTCCTCCTCCTCCTCCTCATCATCATCATCAGCATCATCATCATCATCATCATCATCATCATCATCATCATCATCATCATCATCATCATCATCATCATCATATCATCATCCGCTTATTCCTCGTCCTCCCGCCTCCCTCCTCCCTCTCCTCCATCTCCTCCTCCTCCTCCCCTCGTCCTCCTCCTCGTCCTCCTCCTGCTCCTCCTCTCCTCCTCCTCCTCCTCCTTCTCCTCCTCCTCCTCCTCCTCATCACCATCATCATCCGCTTATTCCTCGTCCTCCCGCATCCTTCCTCCCTCTCCTCCACCTCCACCTCCTCCTCCTCCTCCTCCTCCTCCTCCTCCTCGTCCTGCTCCACGTTCTCTTCCTCCTTCGTCCTCCTCACCCTCATCCTCAGCCTCCTCCTCCTCCACTCCTCCTCCTCCTTCCTCCCCCTCTTGGGGTACGACGGTTTCTCCGGCCCTTTGCTCCTCTGCAAGATCTCTCACTTTCCTGATCACGTCAACTCGCCTGGGCGTCGTCTCTGGATGGGCTGGTGGGGATACGTAAATCCTCAAGAATTGCGAATCAAACTCGACGCGTTCGAAGACTACCTCCATGTATCATGTGGTACGCACCCGTCAGATCCAATGCAGATTGAATGCACGACCTCGCACTCTCTAGAAAAGGGATGGCGGCGTGCCAACCTTTCAGCCTTCCTTCACGCTCCCGTTTCGTCTTCCCTCTTCAGCCTCCCCTTTTTCTTGCTTCCCTCGTCCGCCCTCCATCCCCCCCTCGGTCGTGCTCGTCGTCATGGTCCTGCTTCTGCTCCTCGTGCTCCTTCGCCTCCCCCTTCTCGACATCCTCCTCCTCCAGCTGCGCCCCTCATCGCATCGTGACTATGTGCGCGCGTCCTCGCACACCTCCTGATCAACTCCTCGTGCTCGTCGTCGTCGTCGTCATCACCACCACCACCACCACTATCATCATCATCATCATCATCATCATCATCATCATCATCATCATCATCATCATCATCCTCATCATAATCATCATCATCATCATCACCATCATCACCATCATCATCATCATCATCATCGTCAGCATAGTCATTCGCATTATCATCATCATAATCGCCATCATCATCATCGCCGTCATCATCATCCGCATCATCACCAGTATCGCCGTCATCATCATCGTCATCATCATCATCATCATCATCATCATCATCATCATCGTTAGCATAATCATTCGCATTCTCATCATCATCATCATCATCATAATCGCCATCATCATCATCATCATCATCATCGCCGTCATCATCTCCGGCATCATCACCTGTATCGCCGTCATCATCATCGTCATCAGCGTTGGGGCCACCATCTGATATTCACCATCATCATCAACGTCATCATCATCACCATCACCGTCATCATCATCATCATCATCATCATCATCATCATCATCATCATCATCATCATCATCATCATCATCATCATCATCATCATCATCATCTTCATCGTCATACTCTCCGTCGTCGTCGTCGTCACCACCATCGTCATCGTCGTCGCCTTCAACAGCAGCAGCAGCAGCATCGTCATCATAATCTGCCAACCCCGTCTGCGTGTGTGAGGGCGAGTTTTGTGTCCGTCGTCCACGGGCGGCTGTAAAAGATGCTCCTTCATTCGATTTTCTTTTCCATTCCCGGAGCCTCTCTCGAGACCCTCTTTGGCGCGAAAGCTCGTCAATTCGAAGTGAATCGACCGAAGTCGTAATCGAAGTCGTCATTAAGTCGAAAGGAAGCCCCTTCCCTTTGATCCCTTCCCCACCCAGGGGGGGTCCTGGGGAGGTCCTGGAGGGAGTCCCTGGGGGGGTCCCGGGTCAGAATACCGTTCCCCCCTTTCCCTTTTCGGGTCATCTTCGAACAAACGTGGTCCTCCTTCGGCAAGTCAGGTTCACGATAATCCAAAATGGGCCCAAGAGGGCGCAGAGTCGCCAAAAGATCGCTCGAAGACGCCGAAGATGGCCTCCGGACGGCCCAAAACGCATCCAAGACGGCCCAAGAGTGTTCCAAAAGTACGTACTCCCAAAAGGGCCCCTAACCGTGTATGCAAGGGGCAAGCATGCCAGGGTTCCTCCTAGAAACACGCCAGCCCTTCGCAAAAGTCCACGCGGGGGGCGAGCATGGCCAGGGCCAACCCCATGTGGGAGAAAGCACAAGCCTCTAAGAGAAGCCGCGCTGTCACGAACCAGGGTGCATCCAGCAAAACATGAGGGAACGACGGTTCCTCCTAGAAACAAGCCGCTCTTGTGCGAAACAGCATGAAGAAACGTAAACAAAAACGGACAGGGCTAAAGGCAGGGTAGCTGGAATGGGCGAACATGGAAGGAGGAGGAGAGGGGCAAGGTAGGGGAAGCCCAACTTGAGCTTGGACACGAATCAGCTCTGGGCAAAGTGTGAATGCAGGGGGTCACCATACCAGGGTTCCTCCTGGAAACACGCCAGCCCTTCGCAAAAAACCATGCAAGGGGCCGAGCATGGCCAGGGCCAGCCCCACGTTGGAGAAAGCGCAAGCCTCTGGAAAAAACCGCGCTGTCACGAACCAGGGTGCATCCAGCAAAACATGAAGGAACGACGGTTCCTCCTAGAAACAAGCCCGCCCTGTGCGAAGGAGCATGAAGAAACGTAAACAAAAAACGGACAAGCAAAAGGCTGGGCAGCCGGGATGGGCGAACATGGAAAGAGGAGGAGAGGGGAGGGGGAGGGGAGGCCCAGGTTGTGCCTAGAAACGAGCCAGCCCTCGGCAAACTGTGTACGCAGGGGGCGAGCACACCAGGGCTCCTCCTGGAAACACGCCAGCCATTCGCAATATTCCTTGCAGGGGGGAGCATGAACAGGGCCAGCCCCATGTGGCAGAAAACGCTGGGAGAAGCCGCGCTGTCGCGATCCAGGGGACATCCAACAAAACATATGGGGAACGACGGTTCCTCCTAGAAACAAGCCCGCCCTGTGCGAAGGAGCATGAAGAAACGTAAACAAAAAACGGACAAGCAAAAGGCTGGGTAGCCGGGATGGGCG